CACTGCTATTATTTCAATTATTAGCTATAAGGAAGCAAGTCGCCTCAGGTTCCTTATCTATACTTCAGGCTCATTTACATTTTAAGCCACTCTCCTATACTGACTGTTGTGCGATTATATCAGCCAAGCCTTAGTTTCGTGCTAATAAACTGTATCGACTTCCTGCATTTCATATAAATTATTTCTATCATAATTTGAGTTTACTAAATTGGCATTTGTTTGCTAAATACAAATAGCTGAGAAACCCCGAAATGCCGCATTATACTTTATTGCATTCATTTAATTGACGCATTGGTAAAAAATAATGTTTCTCACTACGTTTTTATCAATTGAATATTTATCATTAAATGAAAAATAACTGGCTTACTAAATCGCACTTATTTGTATCTTTCCTCATCATATATGCACCTATATACGTACATGTATGTAAATATGAAAATATTGAAATATATCTGCATACATATAAGCATAAATACAAGACCAAATAAATGCATACATACACATCTAAATATATTCAAATATACACTTACTCATGCACACACACGCATATGCACTCGCACACGCACTTAACGCCAATCAGCAACTATGATTATTCGCAAGGAGAGGACGAGGGATGAATCTATAGAGAGACCGCCACCAGTCTGCGTTATGACAAATGAGTCTCGCGATCAAACAGGTCTAGTCTCAATTGATCAGAGCTTACAACATACTCATGATGACCCAGCTTCATTCGACTTGTTTGCTCAACCCAACCCATCACTTTCTGTTGTTATTTCTCGAATTAGCACAGCAAATGGCAGTCAGGACTCTGATGCATTCGGTTTCTGTCATCCTGACGTCCTCGAAGCTGTCTTTATTCAGGCTCTGATCTGGTCTGTTGTCTCTGTATTTCGGCTACCTGAGCAAGTGATTATAGACGAATTTATCAAAGCGCTTTCAGGACTTGTGACTGTGGACGAGGGTCCTATAGAGATGAGTGACATAGATATGTCAGTCGACCAGTGCGCCAGAGGTACAGAAAAGCAAAAGACCGTGAGACCAGGCAAGTAATGGTTATGAGTCAGGAGACAATAGATTTTTGGTTGAAACTCTTGATAAATCCAAATTATGCACTTGTTGCTCTATAAACTGAGAGTTGGGCTGAAGAAATGGCTCAACCAGTTATTCTACTATGTATTATTTCACGAAGTTAGTTCTCTTCTCTAAGCTCTTAGCACTCAAACGTACTCAGGGAAAATGATAGGCCATGTGAAATATACCTAGTCGTGCACCCTCTGCTTTAGTATTCATGATTTCCAGGGTCGGACCGTTGATTTGAAACATTCACAGACGTTTCGCCGGCATCGTAGTCGACATCGTCAATGAGAGGCAACATCCTTAACATAATATTACAACTCATCAAAGTAAACATAACTCCTCGTCCCTATTTTTTGTCCTAGCCTCTAGTATTGTATCTCTACCCCACTTCATACGGCCCACTTAACTGTTCACACAATTCTCTGATTTTGTTTCCCTACAATGTCGCATAAGAGTGTCGCCCTAAGTGGATTTAGTGAAGCATAATCACCTTCACCATCAGATTGTCATACCTTTCACAGGGCCATGGGTCGTGTTTTCTTATTTGTCATTTGCTCATCACAGTCTGTATGTGATGTTGTGTTGCTCCTTCTGGATATCCATTTCAAGTTATTTTTTCCAAAGATATGAAGACCAAGATGTTGTGGCCTCTGGTTTGGTCGCAGTCTCTTTTCGATTTATAGAAGTGGGT